GCGGCCTCCGTCTCCGCCCAGGCAGTCAGAATCACCTTCTCTACCAATTCCGTCTTGACCTCCGAATGCGCCAACAACACGCTCCTCTGCACATTGAAATCGGGCAGGAGGATGCGTACATAGTGGACGTTAGCATCATGATCGGATTGCACCCAACCGTACGCTTCTAGTTTCTGGCGAAGTACTGATGCTCTTGTGAGATAGCGCCGGGGCTCCTCCCCTACTTGCTGCTTCAACGAGTACCACTGCCCCTGCAACTCCAACTTGTCCGTTTCTGCGTGCACTCGGTAAAAGTTGAGAAATTGATCCCACGATTCAGTGGGGCAACCACTAGCTAGGATTGCAGGGACTATTGTCGGTACTTGTATCTTGGATATAATTAGCTGCCAAGCCTTAACCGCCCGATCTACAGCTTCCGTCCCATGCTCCACCTTCAATGCCGAGATATTCGCATCCGTCTTCCCTACACGAATGGTGTTCTTCGATTCTACTGCCCCAAGGCAACGCTTCTGCTCCAACAAAGATCGAAATTGACTGGTGAAAACCATCACCGCCGTCTGTACATCGTCCTCGGGGCTAAACTTCCCGGTGAATTCAGGGATTGTGATACCTGCGCTAGTACGTATTGTTTCTTTAGGGGTTGGGACTTCCCTGTATTCATCCTCCGGTTTTATCTTGACCCTCTGCAAGGCCCGCGCGAGGGTGTCGATGAGGCTGACGTCCGCCGGCGATCGGGGCTGGTCTTCGGGTCGCGGGCTTGACTCCGAGCCAGCCGGCCTCTCCAGCCGGGTGTCGCCTCCTTCGGAAGGCACGCCCTCGCTCTGTGCTGCGGGGCGCTCTGCTGCTGCTGCTTCTTCTACTTTGATCTTGACCAGCTCCTTGATAAGAGCGTCGATTACGTTTCGCTGCTCGTCCGAGAGCTGGAGCTCATCCAGCTACTACTCCATGATTTCCGTGTCACTGTTCTCTGGCCGAGCCCTTTTGCAGCTAGCCCCACCTCGGGATCCCGTATGATATCGTGTTAGGACAATCCGAACTGGGGGTAGCTTGTCGCAAGATGTGTGTTGAATAGGGTATCGGCAACTCGGCGGGCTTGCGCCGAGGAGAAAAACTTGTTGTGATTAGTTGCATCCATATACACACACAAGCCCCGTTGAGAGGGCGAGGCCGTAAACAACAGGGGTACCTTGTACATCCCTGGAATCCATTCTACGTACCACACATGTCACCCGGTATTCCGCTCTACCTCATTCCATGGGAACATCCAGCACCAACCACTTGGCATATGCTACTAAGTATATCTATCACGAGACCCTCTCGTCGGCACACACAAACATATTCTACGCACCGGTTTGCCACTACCTTTAGCGAAGGCATTGATAATGTTGTGGGTCCCTGTCGGCGGGTTGGATGTTCCCCTCCCCTTTTTCTTGGCTGATGCTGTTGAAGGCGATGATGCCTTTCGCTTCTGCCCTACGAACTGCTGTGCGCTTCACCCAGCAGCCGATTCAGGAGGGGTTGGCACCGGGGTCTTTTTCTTGAGGTGGGACGCCACATGTTCGTTGAGATGCTGCACATGCTCCTCCAAAGTAAGGATATCGGAAGACCTCAAACTCTGTTTGCGGCCTACGCCACTTATTTATCGAGTGAGACTGTTTTGGTGATGTGTTAACTTCACGAGAGGTCGACGACCGTCCTTCACACGGACGAAAGA